TTTTTTTGCCATATTTCCTCCAAGCTACATCCTGTACTTGGGGGATTTGGACATGCACAGTGATAGGGAGCATGGTGATAGTACTGCCCTGTGGAGATTGTGTTAATCAGTGAGTTTGAAAAGTAGCAGTGGTATCTTGAAGGGAGGCCATGCAAAAGGATACTCCCTGAGGTTGGTGCTAACAAGGGCTCATCACAGCTGCTTGCAGGTGGCAGGGAAAGGCCTCTGCCCATGTGCATCCTTGTCCAAGCATGTCCTGCATGACTTTGTTGTGTGTCTGCAGGAGAAATGTCTGTCCACTGCTCTTCCCCCCCCACCTCAAGAAGTCACTTTTTGTTGTCCCTGCACCCCCTTCTCTGCAGGAGCTGGACTTTTCCACTGCTTTGCCCTTCCTACAGCTGTGTTTCTGCAATTAGACACCCACCTCCGAGCTTCACAGCTGAGTGCTGCTCGGCACCCGTCAGGCTACTTCGCACAACACACCGTATTTTGTCAGTGTCCCTTCCTCCAGGTACAGTGATGTGGCTCTCCACGGTATAGAGATGCTGCTGATCCTGTGTGATGGTGGTCACTGGCTCCACTGCCAGGGCCTGCTCGTCCTGTGTGACCCAACGGACTGTAGGCTTGGGAAACCATCCAATGGATTTGCAGGACACCTCCAGTCCTGACCCCTTGGGCCTCACGACATGTAGGTAAACCGGGGCTACAGCTGCAGGAACAAGGAAATGTTCTGTTGCTCCATAGCGTTAGCACCCAGAGTCCTCATCCTTGATCAATGAGCACCTTCACCCCAGCAGCTGCACTAGAGGACAAAGGTCCAGGCATGAGACGAACACTCCCTCCAGATCCCTGTCTGGCAGACCATGAAATGGTGCACAACTGGTCCCAGTGCTGCACGCATCCTGCCCTTGCCAGCATGGGCTCTGCCCTGCTTCCTAAGGAAGGGGTTGATGAGCATCTGGAGAGAATGCAGCTTCTGCAAGTACCCTGCAAGGATGCAGGCGTCCTGGGAGCATGCAGCCTCGATGAACCTCCCTCAGGGAAACAGCTTCCAGCTCAGCCTGCCACCCATGCACCAGCCTCTGAAGCAAGGACACATGGTATCAGAGGAGACCTTGCACCTCTGCAGCCCTCACCTCACCTTCTACTTGGAGCACAGTGGTGGCTTCTAGGTTGCTTTGCTGGCTTCCCACAAAGCACTGGTAGCTGCCTGCATCCTCTGGGCGAAGGCTCTTCAGCTTCAAGGAGACGTTCCCATGGCTGAACTCCTGGGGGAAGAGCTCGGTCCGGCCCTCATAGCCTTTTCCTGGCATATCCTGAGCTCTATCTGCCCTGTGCTGGTAAACGTTGACAGTCTGGAGGCCGTATTTCCTCCAGCGTACCTCCAGGCTGGGCAGGGGGGCCGGTGGGGAGAGCTGGCAGGGTATCACCACGTCCTGGCCCAACTGCCCCACCACAGGCAGCTGGGAGGTGGATAGGGAGATCTCCGCTGCAACAAA